CTCTCTCTCTCAGCAAGCGACGTTGTCAGAACCATGAACACACGGTATTCCGTAAAAGAAGTTCATGAATGGAATATCAAAACAGAACAGAATTCTTGGCAAAGACGCATAATCCAATGTGCGGTTACCGTATGAAAAACCCGCACGACAAACAAAAACAACAATCGACTACAAAAGGCTACGGTGGCAGGCTAAGCCAAAAAAGTAAGGCCATGACACGTGTGTCAGGCATGGCGTCTGACCGTAGGCAACAAAGGACTGCATTCTCCCGACCGCCTACGAACCTGTACCCGCACGACGATGGTAAAATGAACCGTGAACAACACAACCACCGACGAACATGGGCCACCACGATCCGATAAGAAAGACAGTCGACGATCTCTAAACACACACGGCGAAGACCATGCGCATCCGGGTCCACTGTCACAATCACTCCACGAAGGATCGTGGTCACATGCCACTCATCCTCTCCGCCAGTGCGTCCCTCACGACCCTCAGAATGAGCGCATCGCCCATCGAGCTCTCCATGCACACCGACCTCAAGGGACGCTGAATTCCCAGATCCACACGACGACGCACTCCATTCCCATCCACCTCCCACAACAGATTGTTGTCACACGGGATGCCAGCGTCGATGAGTATGTTGTGGAGAATGCAGACAATGAGAAACTGCTGCAGAAGCGTCTCCATGTTCGTCTTATGCGACCGTAGGAACAACCTCCACATCCCCTTCAATATGTCGAAAGCCCTCTCAACTGCCCCCCTCACGGTCTTCTGCTTGTTGTCGAAGCGCATCTCCGACGGGTGCTGGGTAGTGCAGCCATAGGGAACAACAATCCATTCAGATGGCGGGTAACCATTGTCGCCCAGCAGGTAGCCGTTTGTCTGGACGCTGAAGGGGAGCATGACTGGAGGTCTCGTGAAAAGTTTCCCGGCCTCGACACGCGGCCACAAACTCGATAGGTGGATGATCCTGACGTCGTGGCAGCTTCCTAGATAGCCGACGAAAATATCCAGCATACACAAGTTGAGATCGACGGCCACCTGCGCCACGACTGAGAAACGGTGTCTCCTGTCGTAGTAGTCTTCGCCAAGGGTGTTCGCCGGCTTGTCAATGTAGATATGAGTGCAGTCGATGCACCCATGGCAGTTGGGGAACCCCTTGTCGGCGAATGCACGGAGAACAACTGACTTGCGCAACCCCGCAGGCCATGATATCTTCTCATGGTACACAGTCAGCAACGTTGCAGTCACGTCCCGCACCGCCACCAAACCCGCAGCTTTGCCCATGCCGAAGTTGCACGTGCTACTCTCGTACGTCTCCCCCCAAGCCCACCGGTACAATGTGTACGCCATGATCTGATCCGGCTGCAACGGTTCCCTGTAGAAGGTCACACGTCGCTGCAGGAAGGGCGACAAAGCTTCCGAAATCTCCCATAAGATGCTTGGCGATATGCGCAACTTGTCCCGAAAGGATTCCTCTGTCGCATCGTCGCATTGCCTGAGATCCTCCCACGCCCCACCCGTCCTTCTTTTCATCCAGCACCAGGGCGGCGCTCTGGGCATCGCCCCGCAACCCAAGGCACAGCACACCTGGAGCACAACATCGCAAATGGCGGAAGTGTCCAACCCTTCCACCTCCGTGGACTGCATCGCCTTCCTCCGCCGCGCGCAGATCTGCGCTTTCAGTCTTCCCATTGTCCGCTCCACCTGGCAACGGCAGAGGACCGCGGTAACGGCAGCTGCCACTGGCATCCTCTCCGCCGTCATCAGCCTCCCACGGTCGTCAATGCGCCCGCCCTCCATTACCACTGAACACCCAAGATACGACCGAAGTTCCGATGCACCAGCGAATCACAGCACCGGAGATGGACAGCAATCACGCAACGAAGGCCACTTCAGCAGCGTAGACGACGCGCCGCGCCGCGCCGCTCTCCGCACACAGCGGGCCCGATGACTACAGTGATGGCATCTTCACGCCGGACGTCCTCCGTGCCTGGCCGAAAGGACTTCTCACGTTGACCCTGCCTACCCCTGGTGAAAAGATCTTCGTTTCCGACATCCTCCGCCATCCGCCGCAGCCACAACGCAAACCGCCCTCACCCTGCCTCACCCCAGCAGCGTCGCTCGAATTTCGAATTTTGAACCTCGACGTGCCTGCGTTTTAACTCGTTTTTTTTTTATACGTCGCCACCCGGACTCAATTTTTCCTGCCACTACAAGCTGGACCAGGCCCGTCCACACGGACAACACGCCATGGACCACCGACCCCACCGCGCCCCGCGGTCGGCAATAATATTATGTGATTGGCCACGGGCCCCCGTAGGAATCATCCTCGGAAGACGGTCCCGAGGATGAGTGGAAGGACGGCGGGAATTCTCTACAGCGACCCAAGGGAAAACCCCTCGGGATAATAGAAAATGGGAGAGGCTGCACGAAAACGTGCGCTAACGAAGCAGCGATAGCGGCGGTGGCGGCGGCCGTGTAGGACAGACGCAGACTTCTTTCACGAGGCGCCTACCCTGCCAGGCACCATAGCTGTGTGAGAGCTATGGCGACAGTACCCTGGCGTAGCCTAGCCCTTGACTCCTTGAGTGGGTAGGGAGTGCTCTGCACTCTTACGCCATGGCACCCTGGCAGCTCTGCACCAGACCTCCATACCAATCATCATACCTAATAAGATCTTGATACCAGAGGAGCTGTCCTCCCCTCAAGCTGCTGGAAAGGTGGGGCTCCTTTTTCAACATTTAAAGGCCACATGCTGGACTTTCATGGTACGCCATTTTGACTGCCTTGATCACTAGGAAAGCACGGAAGGCGGAGCGGCGCATCTGGACGCTGTGGGAGAGCGTGCGGCTGCGGTGGCAGTGCTTCCTGTATATCCAAGGGCTACAGCAAGTCTCGTCGCAAGGCAGTCTGACGCCCATTTACTCCTTGTGCTGGGTTTTCACTTAACTTGGTTGTTGTTTTTGTCCTTTATGTCCTGCTTAGTTTTCCGTCCCTAGTTTATGGCGGAGTTTGTGGGCATCGAGCTCTTTGAATGAGTGAGGTATCTGTAGGAAACATTTGCGCAATGTTTAATTCTCTCGTATGATTGATGGCCTTGGTCAGTTGTTTTGCGCCGAGGTTAGGACGTGGATTTGTGCTTGATGTTGCAAGTTTCCAAAAAGTATAGATTCATTCATAGATTCTCGATGTTCCTTAGTGTTTCGTTTTTGAAAATTTAGGATTGAGGGAGAAGGATTTTTTTATTTTGCGATGTATGGGAGTAATTTTGTGATTTCCTCTCCTCGATTATCTTAGGTAATTTTGCCTCTTGATAAGATGGTATTCCTTGTAGTTGTTATAAAATTGTCAGTACGAAGGAGCAGTGGGAACACCAATGGTCGGACGAAATGAGAGACCCGGTGAAGAGCAAACTAGAGTTGTATCCATTGGGTGCGTGGTGGGAAACCCGTCTTGGCAACAAAGGCTCTTTACAGTGTTCTGGACAGTGATGATGAGAAGGTATCCCTACAGCTCATTCTTTATCGACAGCGGCACTACGGGGGCAGTGTGAGTGCTATCATCAGTGGTGGGACCGTGAGTCGATTATAGTTAGTATAAGAATAGTTAGCAGGAGGGAGCAGTGGAACACCAATGGTTGGACGAAATGAGAGACCCGGTGAGCAGCAAACTAGAGTTGTATCCATTGGGTGCGTGGTGGGAAACCCGTCTAGGCAACAAAGGCTCGTCACAGTGTGATTGGATAGTGACGATGGGAGGGTAACCCTACAGCTTTTCTTCTTGCTTAGCTCCTGTTCTCTGAGTTTATAGGTAGTGAGTATATGTTCGTTCTTAGTTTTCCGATGCTTCAAGTGCTGGGGTATGCTTCTAGTGGTTTAGGGTGAAACTCACGGGGTGGGGATGATATGAGAGACTCGGTGAAGAGCAAACTAGAGTTGTATCCACTGGGTGCGTGGTGGGAAACCCGTCTAGGCAACAAAGGCTCTTTGCAGTGTTTTGGTCAGTGATGATGATGTGAGGGTAACCCTAAGGCTTAATATTTTCTTTCCCGGCTTTTAGATTGTTCCTGTTTTGGTATTTTTCTGGAACTTTGATTGGGTAATTCATTTCGCTCTTTAAGTAGTCGGAAATAATTTCAGGGTTAAATTGTAGAATTTATTAAATTGTAAAATTTCCGTGAATCGCCGAGATTTGAAGTTTATAGCTCGCAGCTTTTGCCAATAGTGCTTCGTTCTCAGAAACATGCCGGCATTTTCCTGGGCAGCAAGGATATTAAACTGTTATAGATTTGCTTTGCAATTTTTTATTTTTGGAGATTCTTTAAAGGGACACTGGACCCGGTTTCCAGGAGCCGAAGCTAAGTATTGGCCTCAGCAGATTCGTACCGGGTTGATATGTAGGGGTGTGTTCCCGGGCCCCGGTTGTCTCATTGGAACGAAAATTGCTATGTTTCTCCAAAAAAAAAAAAAAAAAAAAAAAAAAAAAAAAAAAAAAACTCCC